AGCATAAATTTAATATATCTAACGCTTTCAACTATCTGTGCAGATATCCTCAGGATTGAACATTTTTGAATAGAATTCTTTAAAGTTTGAATAATATGTTCTAAACAAGAATTATTAAATATATAAAAATTGGTAAATTGAGAATACAAGTAAATGTGCACAACATTGACAAAATTATATAGAATAAAATAAATAAATATAGATAAATTTAAAATTATTTTATATTTCATCAATATATTATATATGCCATCTCTACAAGCTGTTTAAGGAACAGATATCCTGGACAAACAGCATGACGACAAGTCACCTGTTCATTTGGCAAAACATCACACAAGAATGGGAGAGGAATCAACATTGTCTTAAAGTGATAAAGTGGCATGGATCTGAATCCCATTGAAAGTCTCTGGGCTGAGATTTCTAGAGAGCCAATAAAAGCATCTTCCCCAGAGGAGTTGTGGAGCATTGTCTCTCATAGATGGGAAAAACTCCGGGAAGATAGTCTGTGTGTGACTCTGGTAGTCAGCATGCCAGAATGCATACAGCAAGTGTTAGATAACAACGACCTCTGGACTCAGTTCTGACACTCCTCTCTGGCAGTAAAACCAGTAGGTTTGAAATTGGATGATTTGAAATACTGTTTTCTTTTTTGTTGTTGTTGTTGTTGTTTTTTTTTTTAATTTGTGTTTTGTTAAAGTTGGGCAAGCTACCCTGTGGGATGCCTCCTGGAAGGACTTTTTACATTTTACTGTTTTACAATATAATAAATTTCTAAACAGTAGTCTGTTTAGTTGAGTGACTCTTCAAATGAATAGTGTCATTTTGTTCTCATTCTCTTACTCCTAGTTTTCTATACAAGGCCACATGAAGGCTCCCAAAACACTGCAGAATAAGTAATAGGAGTAATCAACTTGGCAGAACAAATTCAGTGGTAAGTATAAAGTCCCTAAAAGCCCCAAAACCTCAGTGTTGTTTAACTTGAATTATTAAAGGTAATTTCATTATTCATTTCATTTCATTTCATTATTAATTTCATTATTCAAGGTAAAGGTAATTGAATTATTCATATGTAATTTCCGTCTTTTTTTTAAAAACAAATAAACAAAATGTAGCACACAAACTTGTAGTAAGCTGACAGTTTTTCAGCTCTATTTAGCTAATTTTCATATTTATTGACGTTATTTAAATGAAAAAGTGTTTTATTAAGTGTTGGAAGAATGAGAGGTGACATTTAATGGAGAAAAACAGAAACAAAGTGCAGATGACAGAATCAAAATAGTTGTCAGAACTCGGGTAATAAAACACTTAGAACGTTGTTATGAGCAATTGGGTGGATGAAATGAAACTCTTCAGTGAAAGGAGTACAGTTATTACTGTGATCTTGACACCCAACTCTACCCCTTCTCCAGTTACAAAGAAAGCCAGATGTCAATCCTTGAAACTTGAGAAATTGACACTGTAATAAAGCACTTATCAGTCTGTTTACATTAAAAATGTGTGATTCACACCATTCTGTGAAAGTAATAAATATTTACTATTGTGACCTTGACTTCCAACTACATAGGAAGCCAATATCAGGCAGTGAAACCCAAGATAATTTAAGGGGAAGTGAAACCAGATGTGTTTATATTTTGGTTTTTTTGGATCAAATTACAGTAGTATAAACATTGCTAAACTATCCCTGTCTTTGCAGAACTTGTTTCTACATGTGGCAAGGATGCTCATCTGCAACATGTATTGATATGTGATAAATTCAAAAATGGCAATATCAAAGTTGTCAGTATGATGGAATACAATTGGTTTAATAACCTGAAGCAGACCTCGGGTAAGGTTGAAAGTGTTCGTTCGATGTATTAAATGCCATGTTACCGGAATTAAAGGTTAAGTAATGAAGGTCAATATGATGAGTCCAGGATATCCCATCTCTGCTGTTACTGAGCTTATTAAAAGTGACCATTGTTTATGCCAGGGATGTCCAACCTGTGGGCTGCACTGTGGCCCACTTAGTATTTTTATGAGGCTCACTGCACCCTTAATTTTTTAGGCTTATTATTTATTTATTTTGGTTAAGTATTTCGTAAAACTTATTCTTGTTTCACTTCATACACTTTGACATGACCCACCAGTGGCCAAGGGGTTCCGTTCCCTGAACACTGAAAGTTCGGTTGTGGGTTCACATCTTGCTTGGACAGGTTGGCCACATGGAGTTTATCAGGTTTTCTCCATGTCTGTAACACCCAAATAGGGGCCAGTTACCCTTAAAAGACCTCCTGAAAGGCATTATTCCCACACATTCCATCTACTAATAAATGTATCCAACTACTAATACTAGCCAATACCACACATTCCACAGGGCGAAATAGCCAGAGAAGCTTATGCCCAACTTGCTACTAAACAAACATTTTGATGCCATAATGATGTAATTGGTGTTAGAAAACCATTTTATCTAGAAAACTGTTATGCATGTGGAGTAGTACATACTGTTGTGAACAATTCTTTTCATGCATGAAAAACATCATGAAAGAAATGGGTTGAGTGATTCTCATTTAACTAACATTCTTAGAATTAAGACTAGTACCATAAAAGCAGATATTGACAACATTATAAAAGAAAGGCAATGTCAAAAATTGCATTGAATTTATTTTTATTTTGTGTGAGTATAATTTTTTTACTGTCAATAATACAGTATTTTTTGTAATATTATATATTTGTTATTAAGTTTAAAATGTGGATATCAAATTTTATTAAAAGCACATATTTATATGAAAGTACCTTTGTGGCCTGCTGAATAAACCTAAATTTCTAATTTGGCCCATTAGGAAAAAGGTTAGACAACCCTGGTTTATGCATAGGCACGAATTTGTGGTTATGGGTTAGCATCAATAAAAACTTGCAATACTAGATACAGTAGAGCGTCGATTTTCCGAAAGTCAATCATCCGAAAGAATTCCAGTCCGCAAATTTAAATTTTCGCCAGTGCTGTGGCGCTTCAATCTTTGGCTATGTCTTGGGCTACTCAAATATTTTATGTTTTTGATACTAAATTAACATCTGAAGTATAATTTTTTATTATTTTTATATTTTTCAATATATTTATTTTGTTTGTACAAAATAAAAAAATAATTTTTAACGATACAATAGTCTTTGTTAGGTTTAACATCGACGAAAATTCAACGCAAAGCGACATGCAACGGAAAAAAATTTCGACATTGGATACGTTAAACTATTTTTTCATACGTAAATCAGTTATCCGGACAACCCCAGTCCCCAATTGATTCGGAAAATCAACGCTCTACTGTATTTGCAAGTTGTTCCCAGGATATTGGGTGAAGAACACAAACAGCAACAGATGGCACTATCACTTCAACATCTGTAGGGTTGGTATCACCAAGAAGGTAAGGATTTCTTAAACACTGTTATCAGATGTGAATTGTGGATGTATTGCTACAACCTGCTGACAGAACAGCAGGATAAGCAATGGATACATCATGGTACCTCACTCCCAAAAATGTTCAAAAGAATGTTGTCAGCTAGAAACATAATGCTCACCTTTTTAGGACAATAAATGGCATTTCTGCTGCCTTTAGGCAAATAATACCAGCAGACATTGGGAAAACTTATGTATAGAAACTATCCAGATGATGACAGATCCAAATCTGTCACCTTCTGGATAGTTTCCCTAAGTCTATATTTTCTAAAGATGAGTCATTTACAATTTGTCAAATTCACAATAATGCTCACCCACATGTTGCTGAAGCTGTAAACATCAAATTGCAATCTTGAAATTGGTATAAGATCCACATTATATGGAGGGTGATCCAAAATTTCCAAAGTGATTTTCATATCTTTGGTATGAAGAACAGAAGTTTACTGAATAGTGCTTCCAGGGTGAAAACAACCTGAAAACCACAGTGCAGTGATGAATTCATATCTAGATAGACAATTTCTATTTTAGTAGCATATAAAAATTGGTATGTCGCTGGGAAATGTGTGAATCACATGGGTGTGACTGTGTGGAAAATGAAGTTTAAGTAAAACATACATATAGCATTTGATGTCACTACACCCCCAATAATAAAATACTTTGCATTACTGTATTTATTGAACAGCCTTCATATGTATCAATAAACAGATTTTTTTTTAAATGCAAACAAAAATTTACAATAAAAAACAATAAATTGCAACACATTTAACTACTGTTAATGGTGTTACAAAAATAAGCCTTCTGCTATACAAGATGTTAGTATACGATTCTATGATACCTCTTCCAGTGCTAGTTACATCCAAAATGCATATTCCATTTATTGACATTCGAGTGCTTTTCAGAATATCTGTATATGATCCCAACATTATAACCAATTATATATTTGGAATGTAACTTGAGACTTCTCTGTATTTTTTTTGTTAAATAGTTAAGTTTTTTGTAATAGAAAATCTTTAAGTGGGGCTATTCTGCTAGGCAAATGTCAAGTAGGAGACCCAGTATTGTCCTACTTCATTCCACTTACTGTATTAGCTAATGTAAAAAATTTTTAATATTTTTGATTAGAAGAATATAAACATGACTGTCTTATCATTTTTTGAAGGTCCACTTTATGATAAAAATAAGTTAGTAGTAATATAAACTGATATTTTGTAAGTGTCTGATTTTTCATCTTAAACCAATTTTTCATTTTTAATCTTGTCATAAATATGCATTGTTTTAGTTTTTGTTTGCACAACTTTAATCTCATTAGATAGTTGTCTTAATATTGTAGCTGATACTTTGATTCTTATGGACACAATTTGAAACAGATCTTTGCTTCATTCTCTTTGGCAGAGTCAAAAATTCTTAAAAATATTTTTAATACTGTCATTGACTTGCATCTTCTGGAATATTCAGTTTTGATATATTATATGAAAATTGATTAACTTTTTAAAAGATGATTGGTTAAACAATTATTTAAAATTTCACACTATTGTTATGAATGCTATACTGATTGAAGTTTTTTCTTTGCTTACAGGCATGAGATGATAAATATTAATTTAAATAATAAACCAGAATGGTTTTTAGAGAAAAGTGCATCAGGAAAAGTTCCACTTTTAGAACAAGATGGAAAATGTATATCTGAATCACTTGACATAATAGAATATTTGAATGATATGTATCCAGAAAATCAACTTTGTCCTTTTCCTGGCAGAGAGACAGACCATGAGAAAGAACTGATGAACATTGCTGGAGAAGTAAGATTTTATATATGTGCATAATTATCATGTGTATGAAAGTTAATTTATCTGGCATCTAATAAGCTAAACATCAAATTTTTTTCAGTTAATATCGCCATGTTTAAAATATCTAAAAGGAGTGATAAGTACAAATGAATTTTGGAATATTGTTAATGTTTTATTAGACAAGTATGATTATGAACTTAATAACAGAAAAACAAAATTTTTCGGAGGTAAGGTATTTAAACAAAAATGTAAAGCTTGTTTAATTTAAATAAGTTTAATTTAGTTAAAAATTATTTACAAAATTTTTATGGATAAAAAGTATAGTTTAAATTTATTTATTGATTAACACAAAACAACTTCCAACAACTTAACACTTTGTTGAGTAATAATAATCCACGAAAACCTTTCTGTACAAGTGTTATGTTCTTAACTACTCCACAAACGAAACACGGTCAGTCACCACCTGAAGCAGACCTCGATGGTGGTCGAAAGCATTTGTGGAGTAGTTAAGAACATAACACTGTTGACAAAAGGACCATTGTTTGGAACTATTCCCAGATATAGGTGCTTTCATTTTTGACTTCTAAATATTTCGTAACAGAATAAATCTAGTACTTAATATATTTGTTATTATTGGACTAAATACTTAAATTATTTAGATTTAATAGATTATTATAAATTTGCAATTTTCAAATTTTTTAAAACATTTCCCAATACTTTTTTAATGCTCATTTCATGCATTATCATTTTGAACATTTTATAAATATTCGTTCATTTTTCAGAGAATGATTTTAAATTAGTAATTTTTGAAATACAAAAATTTAACATGAACAAATACTAGTGAAATCTATGCACATTCAAAATTATATGATCTTGAATTTTATTATAATACAATGTAAGTTTAAAATGTAGCCTTAGCCTACATAATTTAAAATTTTAAGATTATCTTAAATTTTAAAAGATTTCTCCCTGTAATTATTTAAACTCTTTGTTTAATTGTGTTCTGCAGTGTAAATAAAAATGCAATTTAAAGATTCCAATGTTTTATAAAAAGTTACTATAAACATTTTTATAATTAAAAACTTTAACTTGCAAGAATGATTATCTATTAATACATTATTAATAGGTTATTAATACAGTCAAACCTCTGTTTTTGAACTTAATTCATTCTTAAAAGTTGTTCTCAAATTGAAACAAATTTTCTCATAAGAAACAATATAAAAATTGATTAATCCATTCCTAACCACCAAAACAAATTTTTTTCTTTTTCTTCAACCTTTTTACAGTGGCATGCTGTTTATGGAAGATGTGGAAGTGCCACTTCCCTTGTATTTTCTAAAATATAAATACATATTGTATGATTATTTTCATATTTTAATGTACTTTGAATTAATTAAAATTAATATTTTATTATAACTGCATTATGTATTTTATTACAAATTTCTATACAGCATGTGAAAAAAATGTTAAGATTGCTATTGTATATTCGAATATAAATTTGTATAGGCATACTTCCAATGGAAGTGCCGTATTGTCAAATATGGGATAGCTTCCAAGGCAAAAATATTTGAATGGTGTAAAGCAGCCAGATTACAGGCATTTGCCGGTGCACTTTACACAGCACCAAACTCACACATTTTACCTGGTGGATGCTACACACCAAAATATCGTATAACATAACACTTCCAACAATTCTATCCATTAGACCAGGCCTGGCCAATCCAAATTGTTTTGCAAATTGATCTTGCATAACATTACGGTGGCCACAATTTAGGCAAACATGCTTTTAAAAAAGTAAAACAAATACAAAATAAGATTTTATTATTATTATACCAAGAGTTCATACTCGCACTAGTGCATTATAATAATGACACATGCAAATTTTCATTTATTTAATTGTTTTGGTATATACATAACGGGGAAACAAAAGTTTTAATAGATATATAATATCGCTTAGTGGACCACACAATTTAACGTGACAGGCCATGGGTTGGCCAGGCCTATATTAGACACTCAAAGAGAGCTATTTGAGTAAGTGCATTGTTTTAAGATTTAAAAAGCAGAGTGTTCAATGTTATTTTTATGTATGTTTCTTTACAAATCTATATTTAATTATAATTATTTTGACAGATTTTTACACACAAAATCTTTTGCTTCGGAAAATTGTTTTTCATAACATTTAAAATTATTAACATGTAAAAGTGATAAAAATTCAAGTTTTAATTCTTTGAATTAAATAAAAAAATTCTCCATAAAATTTACTTACCTAAATTACATAATGAATTGCAATATTTATATTCATGTCCAGACTATATTGCCAAGTCATTCTTACACAAAATATAATATATGATTTTTGTTCAGATCATCATTAATAATAATTCTTTTAGTACATCTAACATCATTAATTTTTATGGTACCATATACAAGTGCATCTATTGAGTGCAGTTTTCCAATCATGAAGTGAATTCGTACATTTGCAAGGAACATTAAGTCAGAGAAAAGATTGTCATCACTAGCTTTGCTTTTGATAGAAAAAGAGCTTTTAAATACTTTGATGGAATCAACGATGAACCATTTTATGATAATAATTAACGACTTTTCAGAAAGTAATTGCCAAATAATTAGTTTATAAAAAAAATAATAAAATCAAGTTTTTATATCTTTGTTTCATGTCAAAATAAACTGTTTATTTTTTTTAAAAAATAGATAATTAAGTCATTTCCAGTATTTGTTTAAAATTTTTTATGGAAAAACAGCTTCCCTATCATCAAATGTCACTGCATGCCATTGCCTTTTTAGCTGTATTTCATGCATAAAAATGCAATGTAATATTATCTATATCTATTTCCATTTTATATATATTAAAAGTTAAATGTTCTGTCATTGCCAACTGAAACTGTCACTTTACAAAAAAGTGTAATAAATAGACTTGACTCTGCCTGGACGAAATATAAATAAATCAATCAAGACAGACAACAAGTACTTTATCCAAACTTTCCAAAATATTGTTTCAATTGTTTTTGTTTTAAAGTTTTAATTTTAGTTTGTTTTGGTGTAAAATCCAGAGTTTTACTTAACTGGCTACCTAGTATTAATAAATATTAAAGTTAATAAATTTTTGTTAATATATTTATATTGTAATATATTTAATTTCAGTTAAGCACNACTCTACTAAAATGCAGCCAAAAATGCAAAAACTGCATCAAATAATAATATACCTTAATAAATTTTTGTTAATATATTTATATTGTAATATATTTAATTTCAGTTAAGCACCTTTAAACACGGATTTGTGGATGTCATTTATGTCAATTAATGCGTCTTTTATTAATTAATTTGATTTAAATTCAGTTGCGATGTGTACTAGAAAATGGAAATAGTATGTTACTCACATGTACATTGAAATTGAATTTGAATAACTATGTCATTGATGATTTGTGTTGTGACCAAGGCTGCAGAGTCGGTAAAAAAACACCCGACTTCGACAAAATTAAATACCAAGCCATTATATGAGGACAGAAACACTCATAGCGAGGTATACTATTCTGAACAGAGCTTGGGCATTTAGCCAAATCCTTTTATAGTTAGTATTTTTAATATTTAACTTACATTAATATTTATTTGTATAAAAAAATTAATTTTTAACAAATATTTAATAAGAGGAGAAATGTAAATGTAGAATTTTATTGCTCCCTATCTTTATTCTTCAGCATATGCACTTCAATTTCACCCTTGCAGAAAAGTTTGTCCAACTAAATTGAGTGCGATCTAGTTATTTCAGCTCCTTGTTCAGAAAATAAAAATATATACATTGATCAATTAGTCTGGCTCATTCAGAAAAATAGAGTACTTATTTAGAGCAGAGATAATAAAAGAATGATTTAAAAATATTCAAGTTCAATTGAGTCAAAATAATTTAACTACTAAACACAAATACTACAACGAAAACTACATATTTAATAAATTAAATTGCTGCATTTTGTATTTAAAATAAATGAATTATAACAAAATACAAAACATTTTTAAAAATTAATAAGAAAATTTATTTTATATTTTCACTTAAATAAAAAAAAACTAAATTACATTTATAATTTTGAATTTTATAAAATGGTTCTAAGAAACAAAATAGCTTCAGTTAAATCCTCCTTCATAGATGCCCTTAAATCAGCTTTAATTATTTTCAAAGCTGAAAATAATCTTTCCACACTGACTTGTGTTGGGGGCATTGCTGTGACAGATCTAGCTGCATTGCGAATAATTTCTGGATACATTGAAATAGTTTCTTCCACGTTCAATTTTGATAAACGGTCATACTTTTCTATTTCAATTAACCCATTTAAAAAATTTTGTTCAAATTTTATTTTTTCAATTTCTGTCGGTTTAGTTTCAAATCAAGAAACTAAACCGGTGATTTATTAAATGTCTTAGGTTCACTTTGAGATGTTCTAAACTATCCAAATATGCTTAGAAATAAAGCTTTCTTTTTGGAGATGATGATTCCAAGTTGTCAATACATTCATTATTTTTATTTTCATCTTTTGATTCATAAATGTAAAATAACTGCAACATTTTCAAGTGAATAGCTATTTCACGAAGCTTTTCTTTCCCTGAAGCAATATGATTGTCATTTAGTAAAATTTTATTCATTGGATCAACGTAAATAGTGACTAACAAGATTTTATTGTCTAAGAACTGAATCTCTCTTTTTCTCATTGAAGATAAAATTGCATTAGCAACAATTCTTCCAGTTTTGTTAAGCTGATGCATCAAAGTTGTCCACTGTAAGAAAAAATTTCCAGGTGTCAAATCTTCAGCTTGTAACTATAAGGGTATGACAAGACACTAATTTTTCTGTTTTATTAACTGAAAACCAATAGAAACAAATGCTTGGATTATCAAGGTCTTCAAGGAAGGTTTCCAATTCGAGCAACCGCTTAACCATTAAATAAGTGCTTCCTCAGCGAGTAGATTGATCTAAAATAATTCCTTTTCTAGCATGCCTTCTCAGAATAACATCTATTTTAGGGGTTCTAGCTACAGTAGATACCTGTCTTAATTTTGTAATGATTTTAGTTACCTGAGAGTCTTTTAATCCATCTCTTATTGCTAATTGCAATGTGTGAACAGCACATTGCATAATTTGGATTTGAAACATATTGAACACTTCCTCCATAATAAAAGAAAAAGAGGAATATTGATGATATAGGCTCGATTTGTGTGCCAATGGCAAATATTTCATCAATGTCTTCTAATGCAATTTCATTATTTTGATTCATTTTCTCAGTTATTTTTAACATATTTGAAGCATCATCTGTTACAATACACAAAATATGCTCCTTTTTAATTTTAAAATCTTCTAATACCTCTTGAACCAACCTCTGCAGATACTCTCCTGTGAGATGAGCCATAGTGTCTTTTACTGCTAATGTCTGTAACTATTGTATTATTCTCATCAATAAATTGAACATTAATTGCAAAATAATTCATTCAATGACAACTGCATGCATCCATTTTAAATTAATAAATATCAATCGATCCTTCGATTATAAGACTTATGATGCTTGTTTTCTCTATCTAGTGAAACTCCAAGTTTTCTTGCCATTTAAGCCTTAAAAGGCTGGTCGTGAAAAAAGATTAAAAATCTCATAATTGAAATGGTGGTGCAAGATAGTGTGCCTTTAAATTTTTCACTCGTACTGTAACTTTATCAGAAACAAAGAATTTGCATACTTGTTTGTACTGAACTAAATTTTTGGGATATATTCTAATTTTAAAATACATGAAGTGGTTCTACTGTTGTCTTTTTCATTTACTTCTTGTAGAATTTTAGGATGTAGACATTGCAAATGTCTTTTTAGATTACCTGCTCTTGTAGGTGCATTTTTTTTTCAGAACTAGCAAAAGTGCTAATTTTTGCTTCACATACATGTTTACCACCATCATTTTTTACAATGTATTTACACTGATAATATTTTCCATCTATTGTAAGAGTATAATATTCAAAAACTGCAGACTTTGAATTTGAAAACACTTTCTTTTCCATAGGGTAATTAGGTATCTAACAATATTTTTCACAAAGTTTATAAAATTAGATATAACTCTTAAAAATAATATGTAGATAAATATAATTCATACTTAAAAGTCATAAGTAAAATAATCTGAAATTGAGAATCGAAGTAAAAAACCCTTTAAGTACTTTTTCTGAGTTAACCCGGGTTGGACGAAAAGGATGCAAGTATGAATCCTGAATCAGACAAGGAAGTTGGTCTCCCCCCAGAGAAATAGTAGAAATATCACAAAGCATGTGTTCTATTTGGGAGTATTCCTGGAACTACTGCACACTATACTAGAACACTGATTCCCCTTGAAGTCTATATAAGGACGTCCTGCAAAAGTTCACCAAGCAGCTGGCTAAAAGTCAAATAGTTGTAAATTTTGGAGACCCCAGTGTCTCGTTACAACTTGTTTTTAATGCAATAAAATGACAAATAAAGCATCTCTAACAATATATTTATTTTAAATTATTTCATATTATTCTAATATTTTTATTATAAAATTTTTTTCCAGATATTTTTACGTTTTAATTTTTCTATGGAAAACAAAAAAGAGAAATGTTAGAATCAACACATATTTTCCGACTCCTCTAGCCAGAAATTCCTCCCGACTCCAACTGCACAGCCCTGGTTGTGACATCTAATGATGTGAGGTGATCCAGCAGCCAGTAACTTCTGAATCAGTAGTCCCATTGTTGATTGGTCAGGCTGTTTACTTTCTTTAACACTGGAAGTATAGGGAGATTGAAGAACAAAGAAATATGAAATGGGAAAATAATTTGTGAGGTAATTAAAAAATCTAGAATTATTTATTTTCAAATGCATTTCTGGGAGATCCTTCAATATAAACTGGATGCCTTAAATTAGGGGTGCGTTTCCCTGTCAACTCCTACAGCCAGCTCTTGACAATTATTGTTTGGAAATGGAATTATCACATGGCAACTGGGCAAATATAGCATTCAAAATCTTGTTCAAAAAGCAAGGCATTCAAAACCCAAGGGTTGAATGTATATGTCCTGAACATTAGTAATTTTGACAAACAAACTAATCTTTCTACATGTATTAATCTAAAAATAATCAGTAATCATCTTACTGTGTCAGTTAATTATTACATATCAAAATGTGATTATCACTGACTAGTTTTTTTATAAAACTGGATCTAAATATCAGTAAATTGTAATTATATTTCTAATTAATCACAATTTATATTAATTAACAATATTTAATTGAAATTATTTCTAATCAATCACAATTCACATGGTGCTATATCATTTCAGGTGAAAAACCATTGATACTGGATTATGTTCTTTGGCCTTCAGTTGAATATATACTGGCATTATTAATTGCAAAACCTGATCTTGGGTCATTTCCAAAATCAAAATATTTGAAAATTATGAAATGGATTGATAATATGACTGAAGATTCAATAATAAAAAAAACTTGTTTAGATAGAAAATTAATTGCAGCTTTTCACCAAACTTTTGATGAAAATCCAGACTTTGATATTGGATTGTAATTTGTAAAAAAAATATTTTTTGGAATAAATTAGTTTTTTAAAACTAAACTAATTGTTTCTCATTTCAAATGCCCATATTTTTTAAAATTAAAAATGTTAATATTCACAAAACAAAAATGTAAAACAACATGCAGAAGAAATATCTGTGACTACTACAGAACCTTGATTTTACAGATCAAGATTTATTGGATTTTGGAAATAGTGAACCTTAAGGTATCTGTTGAAGCATAGCCATTAAGAAAGCACGACTGGCCTATATTATGACTCTTAGTATAAAACATGATATACTAGTATAAATAGTGGCCAGACAAGTTTTTATTCAAATTTGTTAAGATCACATTACAGAGTAACTTAAATGAGGTGTATGGCTCGATGCATTGTTTTAAAAACAGCATCTAGCATTGAAAAAATTAAATTATTCAGATGTTCAACTATTTTGTTTAAGTAACATCTCAAGTAGATATAAAAACATATTAAGATACCAGTAAATCAAAATCACATTTATTTTATAGCCAAAGAATGATGTAAATCTCATGTCGAATATCATTTTGTGCAATTATCAATATATTAGTAAAGATTTTATTGTTATTACAGTGTTATATTGACTGTTTTACTTTGTAACAGATTAAACATATTGGGGCAAATCTGAATTAATTAAAAAATTAGAAGAAGAAATAATCTTGGACATTCAAACAGAAATTGAATCAATGCATAGTAACTATGAATAAAAGAGAATGGTGAGAAACTGATATGATGGTTTACAGAATTTGAGACATAAAAATCAAATTGAACAAAAATTACAGCAGATTGAAGATTATATGTTGTCCAATTTCTTTTAATATATAAACCGACTTTAACTTATTCCAGACTTATATTAGAACCTTACAGAAATATTACTTGAGATTAAATTTACATGTGATATTTTAAAATGCTAAATAAATTAATAATAATAATTAAATAAATTTTTATTTAATAAAATAAATGTATTAATAGTGAACTAAATAAAAAATAAGTATTTTTTCATAGAAAATAAAAATTCCTTGTTTAATAATTTTATTGATGTGATAAAGCCAAATTGAATTTCAATATACATATTGTATTATTATGAA